CAGGCTCCAGGCTCTGCGCTGTCAGCACAGAGCCTGATCTGGGGCTCGAACCCACAAACTGTGAGATCATGACCTGAGCTGAAGTCAAACACTTAACAGAGTGAGCCACCCAGGTGCCCCCCTAACATGGGTTTTTAATGAGATTTTTTGTATTTCATCTTTGAAAGTATTTCGTGTAAAGTTTATTTATTTTGAGAGAGAGAGAGAGAGAGAGAGAGCAAGCGAGTGGGGGTAGGGGCAGAGAGAGAGGGAGAGAATCCCAGGCAGGCTCCAAGCCTGTCAGCGCAGAGCCCTGAAGCGGGGCTCAGTCTCACGAACCGAACCATGAGATCATGACCTGAGGTGAAAGCAAGAGTTGGATGCTTAACCGACTGAGCCACCCACATGCCCTTGAAAGTATCTTTTTCCATGGTGCCTCCAAATACAGATATAAACCCATGAACGTATGATTTTAGTGGAGCGTATTTATTGCTTGGAAGGCATCTATTGAATTCTGCTAGATTGTTTTCTTGATACTTACCTTTTAGCAGATCATCGCATTGCCCACTAATCACTTACAATGGAAGGTTAGGTAGAAGCTTCTTGTTGCATAGTTAAATGGTTTTCGAAATGTGGAAAGTACTTTTTTTTCTTTTTTCTTTTTTTTTTAAGATTTTATTTTTAAGCAGTCTCTACACCCAACATGGGGCTTGAACTCACAACCCCAAGATCAAGGGTTGCATGCTCCACTGAGCGAGCCACCCAGGTGTCCCCGGAAAGTACTTTTATACTTGTATTGAGGTCTGAAAAATGCTGGAACTGTAGTTTTATTTTGGAAAGTATATCTACTGCATATTTGTTTGGGATTGGAGATCCCATCTCATTTTAATTTTTTTACAGCCTAGAAAGTGTGTAAAGCAGCTTGACATCACTTAAGATTCAGTGTCAGTTGTCCTTGAAATGACTATCTCAGTATAGGTTTTGCATGGAAGTGCTATTGGCCTCCTAATTTTAGATTGAATTCATTGAGAAATATTAGCAAGTCAGCAAAAATGAATTTTCAAAGCCATTCAGTGTTCAGTAACAG